TATATATATATATATATATATATATATATGTGTGTGTGTGTGTGTGTGTGAAGATGCATATATTAATTTACAATACATGCAAGAAAAAAAGAAGGTGAATTTAAATGTGTATATGTTTGAAAATGTATATGTTATTTAACATATATTTAAAGAACAATGAAGTAAATGAAATAATTTATAATATGTAAATGAAATCATAAATAAAAAGGGAAAAGATACATGCATGCATATATATATATATATGTGTGTGTGTGTGTGTGTGTGAAGATGCATATATTAATTTACAATACATGCAAGAAAAAAAGAAGGTGAATTTAAATGTGTATATGTTTGAAAATGTATATGTTATTTAACATATATTTAAAGAACAATGAAGTAAATGAAATAATTTATAATATGTAAATGAAATCATAAATAAAAAGGGAAAAGATACATGCATGCAAATTACTCCCGTATGGTACTGACTGAGAAAGCAACGTACCCTTGCACGTTAAATAGAAATGGAAATGATTGTACCTACATTGGTACAAATTTTAGATGGTACTCCTAAACTAAATGAGAAAGGAAAATGAAATGAAAATGAAAAATAGTTGTACCTTTGTTGATACAAATTTTAAACGGTGCTCCTATACAAAATGAGAAAGGGAAAAGGAAAAAATGAAAAATGGATGAATATTAATTGAAAAAGGAATATATTATTTGATAGATATATAATAAAGATTTATATCATATCAATTGATATATTTATATACGTGTTAATTGGAAAGAAAGACAAAAATGCATATGATTCATTATTTTTGTATGTATAATTGTTATGTTAAAAGTGTAATTATTCACTGAGTTTATCATGTAAACTCAAACTGTTAAACTAAATTTTTCATATAAGTCTTTTGATAAGAAATGGTTGAAAGATAAGAGGACTATGTCAACAGAAGACGGCGATCTAACGAGAGCAGGTATAAAATGGTTTTAGTGATGTTTCAAATGTATCATTTGTTAGTGGCTCTTTAGTATTTTTGGAATGTTAGACTTTCCTGTTATGTGAAATTGTAGAAAGTGTAGTAATTGTCTGACTATCCATTTCCATCTCGTTAACTCAAGTCTCTGGGCCGGATCGTGCAAAAATAGTATCAGAGCCCCAAATCGGATATAACTCGTACTGAAAAAGCTATTAGATTGATTATTAAAGTTAAGGAATGTGATTTCATAATAAATTATGAATTTATAAGATATTTTATTCGTATTTCATGACTCGGAATAATCTTGAAGAGATATGGAAAGGTCAATACCTAATATTATTGTTAATTCTGATACCCTGACACAAATAATGATGGAAATAACTCAGTTGATTCAGGACTCAATAAATCAACTATCAGGAAGTGCTAATAACAGTAGCATGACTATGGATAAATATTTAAAATTATTTCAAGATATGATACCACCGTTATTTAAAGAGATGGAGGGACCAATTGAGGCAGAGAACTGATTATTACGGATTGAGAAGATTTTATAGGGGATGTTCTGTTTAGAGGAGAAGAAAGTTTCTTTGGCAACCTTTATACTTGATGGTGAAGCTGAAAGATGATAGAAGGGTCAACATCATGATAAAATTTGAAGGGGTACCTAGTATTTAGATCAAGTGGGATAACTTTACTCAAGTGTTCATAGACTAGTTTGTGCCTTTTCTGTGAGGAGTCAAATGATAAGTAGATAAGGTCCATGGAAACTCAGAATGATAGAACTGGGATCTCAATCAAATTTATCAATAATTGCAACCAAGCAAATAGCATTATATTCTCTCCTCTAATCTAAATTGCTACTACTACGAGCAAAGCATCATAAAGCCTATAGACTAACTTTGATCAAAAGTTCTCTCACGATCTAGAGGATTAACTAACCATATAGGCTTACATCTATTGGAAATCTTGAATAAAATTATAAAGTTCTCGTTACGAAGTAAAATCTTGGTAATGTTTTATATATGATTCAATCTGTCTTCTGAAAAAAAAAAACCAAAGAGGAATCACTCGAATATATAAATAAAGATGGGTGAAGACTTTCACAGCCTAAAAGAAACCAGTTGGTTAAATGCAAGAAAAATCATAAGATAATACGCAAGGAACTATATTGTAAGCATAAAAACAAGTTCAGATAGGAATGATACTCTTGTTTATTTAGGCTTATATTTAGATATGATTGCATGCAAAATCTCATCATCGCAAAGCTGAGAAGTAGAAGCTTTAAAAGAAAGGTTTGTCTTTTTTTTATGTTGAATCATATAAAGAAAATAGAATGACATTCATCAAAAAAGGAGATCAATTTCAAGAAAGTATTGAAAGGACAGTAAGAAAGGTAACAAGCTCCACGAAAGATATAGCCATGTGCAGTGAAACTAGGAACATTCATAAGAAAAGGAGAAGAATTAAAGTAAAAAACAAAAGAGTATATGGAATGGATGATGTGAAAGAAAATTTGGGATAGTAGATGAACTTTAAGCATGTTGAGGGAGAAGAAAGAAACATAAAAGAAGGAAAGCAAAGGGACAAACATATAAGAACATCCACATGAAAGTTGAAAAAAAGTTTTTGATAGCAGTATTTGCAGAAAGTGCTAAAATCTGAGTAAACAAAATCATTGATGAGATATAGAGATCCATAGGAATGCCATTTTCTTGATTTTGGCTCTTAATTATAGAATGAAATTATATAAGAATGGACCTCAGCATGTAGATGCGTTAACCTCAAGTCCTTTGGAGGGGAGGGCAGAAGCAATCATAAGGTTGCTTCCATTGAGACCAAAAAGTGATGGATTCAAATGATAAAAATAACAGTGAAAGTGTGGGATTACATATATCAACCCATCCCAAAGCCCACTTTGTGGGAGCCTCACACAGCGATATGTATGCCCCTTTTTTAAAGTAGTTCACCTTAAAGGAATGTTAAAAAAAATAAAAATTAATTAGATGAATATCTAAACAGAGTAAAACATATCCACATATGAACCATAAGCAAAAGGTTTCCAGAAGCAAGGAACCTGAAAACTATATCTGCTGTTCCCGGTTGCAACGGCAACAAATTTTTTTTTAGAACATCCATAATCTTCTCCATGAGTTTAACATCATTGTGCTCCTTAGCATGTAACTGCAGGAAAATTCAGTACTTGTTTCTTTCCATGAAGGAACGGCACCCAGAGTTGCTAATTACCAGTAAACGATGAGCAGAACTGATAGTTGGAGTTAAACCGTACACATTATGCTTCCACAATGCCTTTATCCCTGGAAGCCCAAAGCAAAATCTAAATGAACTCTTAATAAACCAAAATCACAAAGCATATAACAGGCACGCATTCTGTTGGCTTGGGTTCTGGGATAAAGCTGTTACTTTTAAGACATTCTCAATTATTTAAAATATGGAAAAAGAATCATAATAAATTCAAACAAGGAAGGTTTAAACATATTAAAGCAACTATGTTGTCATGGCTAAATAAATTCATCCTAAAAATCCCACAAACATAAATCAATAAGGAAAACTCATAAATGAACAAGTAAAAAATCCATAGCAGATGAAATGCAGAATAAAACATATACTAATATGCTTACATCAGAAAATTAAAGCAAGGATAAAAATTTGAGTAGACTAAACTTCAAACAAAGATCCATGAGATATAATTGATAACATACCATATTCAAGGGCATCAGATCGAACACAAGCCTCTGTTACTTTTAAACAAAGATGGAAATTGAAATTTGCATGAATCCGTAAGTTTGATAATCTCTGCAAATAAAAGATAGCTTGTTAGTTTCAGGTTTAACTAAAACACCTATGATAGTAATCTCATCTATGCTTGCCAGCAACCAAACACGTCTGTAACTAACTCATATATCCAGCAAAATCAAACATATTTTGTTTATTTATCTAGCCTCTTTGGTGAATTGAGATGAACATACAAGAGGTGAAATAAATGTAATATAGAAAGTTTGGTATCCATCTGCCCTTCCTTACTTTACTTTCAAAATATTCACATGGGAAATGATTGTCATTGGATGTAATTTGCATAAACAATTACAATAATATCTTTAAAATTGTACTAATTTCACCGTAAGAACCACATATTCCTTTATTTCCTTGTTTCTTTCACTTTTGTACTGTCATATCCAGAAAAGAACTTAGTTTGATTCTTGAAGATTTGTGCAATAATGTACCATTCATTTCCAGTGATCCCACTGAAAGTCTGAAACAATGCACATTTGTATATTCTCTACAGAACTAATGAAATTATTATGTTTACATCCGCTAATCAAAGTATTACAAGTCATTCGACCATGCAACAGCAAATCTAAACCACAGAGAACATCAAGCATAAGAGTATGTTAATCCAAAAAAGAAAGAATTGAATAATCTCTAACGAGTAGGTGCCAGAAAGGTTGGGTGAGTTACAGAGAGAGATCAGCTAATTAAATGAACATTACTTACAAATACACGAAGTCTCTGTAATATCTGAAATAAAAGCTTTATATCCTCCTTGTTGGAACATTGTTCAATTAACGACCATAACAAAGCATTTGGTGGCATGGTTTTAGCTTCTACAGATTTTAACAGTTTTGCATAAAGCTCTTGTGCAGACTCTGCAAACAATAAAGTCAATTACATAACAACAGAAACTAGTAGAATATTTTGTTTTCACAAAAAGTAGAAAACAAATTTAAAATTTTATAGTGGAAAATCACACCCAGAGGCCAAAGTGTAATCCAGAAGTAGTTAAAAAGATTCAATTGGTAAAAATTTCATATTCAACTTGAAAATGTGTAAGCTTCCATGGGAACTTGCAAAATGTTAGAAGCACGAGCCATGAGATATTCTATTTTAGTGTCCAGGCCAAACCCATATAACAAGTATGGTGAGTCATGTAGCTTATCATCATACGACTCTTTTTTTTTTTCTTGAAAGTGCATACAACTCCTTATTTTGTTTTGTTTTTTTAAGTATGCATGCGACTACTTATGGTTGTTGCATACATGCATAAATGGATATAAGTTTAATTCAAGTCATTACTGAAAGTACATGGCAATTATTGCAAAACAATAGCTTCTTTCAAGTAGAACTGTAAAAATATGAAGGCCAAGTTTCTCTAACGTTTATAGTAAACAAGCTAGAAGCCCAAGACCAAGGATCTAACAGCAAAGAAACATGCAAAGCAATTCCATATCTCTAGAAGCAAGCCATTTTGGGCACCTCAATTGAAACTCATAACTTAAATTAAAAATCAAATTAGACTGAAAAAAGATAGAATTTCTATCTACGAATGACAAAAGAATAATAGATTTTCACCTTGTTTGAGAGAAGAAAGAAAACACAAAACTGAGAATATGCCAATATTCCTCATCGTGATGTGGTTAGTTTGTATGGTCCCAGTCTAATATCACTTTAAGCAACTATCCCAAAGGGTTCATACAGAAATAGAAAGAGATCAATACAACAAAATCAACATATTTAAAAAAGAGTAAAATGCAAATTTGTACAATAAGTTTTGGTGCATGGCAATGAGTATAAAGCTACATGCTAAATGACACTGTATTAGACTGCACTTAAGCTATTTCATACATGAAAATTCATTGTAGATCCATATTGCAGTATGCAAACTAATAAACAGCAAAAAAAGAAAGATGAAATAATAACAGCATCTTAGATAGAAGAAAAACTAAATGACTATGATGTGAAACAAACGGGAGTTACTTAGGAAATTAAAGATAGCGAATTAGCAAAGTGTTCCCACAATAAATTTATTACTTATAACAATGATTGATCCTTAGAATTCTTGGTTTTTAACTTGCTTAGTCAAAGAAGAACGAAGTCGGTTACCCAAACAATTTAAGAAAACGCAAAGATCAATTGTAAAACTACAACGATACACAAGAATCCACAATTTAATAATGAAAACTTTCACCTTTGGAGCTCATACGCTCAAATAGTCTAGGCTTTAGCGGAAGAAGAGTCTCCACATTAGAATCGAGGTCGCTCCGATGAAGAAGGAACCTTGGATCGTCGTTCTTGGATAGGTGGCCGGAGTGGTGGAGGAAGATGGTCGTCCAATGATGATCCAACATCCCCTTGACCTTTGCTCGTCGATCACGTCAACTAAGGTGTAATGGATACGGTCGATATAATTTTCAATGGTGTCGTCGAAATCAAAGCCCACGTCAAAGAACAGTGATTGAAGATGTCAACTTGATCTCGATCGTCATGCACAATCTAAAGTTCCATTCGGGTTCCCCCATACATTCTTGTCGGGCGGGAAGGAGCACAAAAGAATTTGGAAAAGTGAGGAAGAATGCGGCGGGTTGGTGGAGGAAAGGCCAAGAAGAAAAGCAAGGATTGCCAAATCTTAAATAATGTCAGATTTCTGAAGTTGAGGGGACTTGGTTGGAGAAGTCAAGTCACGTCCAAAGAGAAGTTCGCGTAGGAGAGGAAAGCTTCAGGATATTATTTCAGATTTCTGAAATTGAATTCCCGTGAGGAGAAGTGGGTGGGAGGGAGGGGGACTAATTTGAAAATCAAATTGATTTCCTAAGGAGGGGGCTAGCGGTTAGTGAGGGATTAGGAGAGTTAATGGGAGCAATTAATGTAATTAGAGAGGATTAATGGGTAAGGGTGGCCGGCCATAGAGCAAGGAGAGAGAGGCGTGGAATTTAAAAGGAGGGGCCCACGTTTGAATAATTAATTCCTAATCAAATCTGAAATTATAATTTTAGATTTGATTATCTCTTAAGTAACTCTCAAAATTGATGTATTAAGAGGGAATAGAATTTGAATTTCAAAAGGAGCATTAATCCCCTTAAATGTCTCTCCTAAATAGATGAAGACTAATTAAGAAATTGACTTAATTAGGGATTTGAAATTCAAACAGGCTTGGGTCCAAGGAGGGGAGCCGGCGGCAAGGTGGATGCTGGGCGGCGGTTAAAGGGGGGGCGGGGCTACTAGCTGGCGGCCTGGACAGTCCAGGAGGGATGGCGGCAATGAGCAAGGGAGGGGAGATTGTGGGGGAAAATTCTCGGGATCCAAAGCATGAAACTCCAATCTCCCACTAGTGGCTTCAGTCCAAATCTCCACAACAACGAATTGATCAAGAGAACTAAAAGAAAAACGAAAAACAAGAAAACCTATAACTCACAAAGAGATCTAGTTTCTCCTACGAACTCACTAAGAGATCGGGGAGGGTGAACTCACAAAGAGAACATAAGTGGCAAATTTTCATTCATCAAAACTACTATTACATAAGAAAATGACCATATATAGGCCTCAAAATGACAAAGGAAACAAAAGACTAAAATGCCCCTTGGGCTACAATAGTGACCAAATGCCCATAAGGGCAAAAACGGAAAAACATAAAATAAAAATAAACTACTACATAAAATGACTCAAAATACAACTCATGATCGTGGCGGTCGATCTCCGGCGTCTCCTGATGGTACATGTGTCGAAATTGCTGAAGATGTCCTCATCAGACTATGTCCGAAATGGCATGGGTTCATGTTCCGTTCTCGATAGTGTCATGGGATAATAAGCTTAATGATGATGGCAAATGTACGTGATTGAGTATAAAGTTGCATTCAATAGAGTAGAATTTCATTTGAGATTGCACCTAGCCAGGTTTACAGAAGAAATTCATGGACCCAAAGCAGGAGAAACTCATTGTAAAGCTAGATAATAAAAAAGAAAAAAAAATGTATCTAACAATGGAAAGATAGAACAAGGACCTGGAAGAGCAGCATCTTCTTTATTTGCTTCAGTAGAAAAATGAGCATGCAGCAAAAGAGAGGGCCCCCATTTCTGACTGATAAGCATCACACGTGCAAAGTTGGTGTTTTTTCCTACAAGAGAAAAAAGTAAAACCACAAAAAGCCAATCGGAATGAGTTATTCAGTACCAATGTTTAAATAACTTTACCCTCCTATCTTAATCATACAAGTGCAATTTAAGAGGTTGTATTGTTAAGTGAAAAAAAAAATGCAAATTATTTGCAAGAAACCTTTTTTTTATTTAAAGTTTATGATGGCAAGTTACATTACTTCATAGATCATTTCCTTCACAAATCTGTTGCACACTCTATATGGTTAAATGACCAAATTTATACTACAAGGGTTTACTTTACATGCATTCTAAATGCATCAAACGAATACACTTAGAAAAATAGTACCATCATAGAAAATTAGTTGAATATAAAAGACTTAGAGAAAGCTAAATGATCAATTCATATATTTAACTGGAGCATAAGTAACTCCATTCTTTAAAACATAAGTACCAATTACAAAGTGTTGGCAATGAGACTTATGTTGAAATAGTTTTTGAGATGAGAATGCATATCTTCTAAAAACATGATATAGAAAGAGACCAAAATATATCCTTAGGCGTTCCCACATTAGCTTACACATGTGCTTTATTCATGATCATTGGGTAACAAATCTATTTGAATTTAAATTCATAAGAGTAAAAACTAAATATTTTTTAGTTGCAGCTAGTGAGTATATTCTCCAACTGGCTATCTACCTATCGACATATGAAATTATACACTAAAGTCACAAAATAAGCTCGCATTATTCATGTTCTTCCAGGGGAATGAAACCAAGCCTTTCATATTCCATTGAAATTTTTCAGCTAGTTTAATAAAAGAATAAAGGAGATGCCAAAAGTACAATTTAAAATTATAAGGGGAAAAAAAAAAGATTTGCTTGTTAACCAAAAACCTGCATGAAAGAATTCAAAATCCAAAATCTGTTTCAAACAATAACGCAATTTACAAAACATCAGGCCCTTCCAAAATTCCTTCCTCTAAAGAAGTGCCCCTACGGTTTCCTGATCGGTTTGGAATAACTAGAAGCAGATATAGAAAACTCTTGAACATAGACAATTACGTGCATACATGTAAAAAAAACAAAAAGAATTTATAAATAAAAAAATGTAAACATACCAAAGGGAGAAGCAAAGAAGTTCCTTGGCAATGAGCTCTGGCCGTGAGAGAATGGAGCACTTCTGGGGGTTTCAACGAGATGGCTGGCTAGCTGTTGCCCCGAGCCGCTAAGCGCCTGAACTCCCCGGAGAATAGTCCAAAGACGCCGACCGCCGCCGGAAATTGACATCGCTTCTGGCCGCCTGAAGTGGCTCTCCCGAAGAAGCACTAGGTCTTAGGCGAGTCCCGGTGACTGCAAGTATTGGACCGGATGGAGGGAAGGGTTGCTCCGCCCTAACTATTCATCCAGGATTTTGTCTAGTTTTTGTACTTCATAATCCATTTTGTACTAAAATAGCTTTTCTGTGAAAATTTTGTACAAAAAAATAGTTTTAAAAATTAGTATGAGAGTTGTCTCAAATGAAATTTAAATTTTTGTACTAAGAAATTGCTTTAACAAACAGCAAAAAAATTGTCGCAAACGAAGCCTGAATGCATGAATTACGATAATCCACTTCCAGCCAAAAAATCTTTCAAGAGAATATCCAACTAGCTCCCATAAGAATCATAAGGAGTCCCATATAAAAAAGACAACAATATAAATACACACCGCCATTGAAATAAGTCATAAAAAAGTACGAGCAAGCATAATGTAGCATATATGTGATACATGTTGCATGAGAAATTAAGTGCATGAGGGAATATAAAGTTGTGTAATATTATCATGCAAATTGCCCATCATTTTTCATCTTTTAATTTTTAAGTCGAATGGCCTAATGGCTTTTATTAATCAAAGTTCTTCCATTAATAATTTTATTCTAAAAATTCAGTTGTCCCTTTCTCGTCAAATATAATAAGAAATTACACGAATAACAAGAGAAAAATTTCCCTTCTAACTTTGTAGCTAATAATATTAGAATGATTTAATACTTGATGTAAAAAGCTTCCCAAATGAAAGAACTCCCCATTGGGGATGCAAATTTTAATAAGCCATTAGGAAACCTCGCAAACAAAAAATATATATATATATAAGACACATATTTGATTAACCATAATTCCCCTTTTAAAAAGACAATCAATTGTTTTGAGGAAACTTTTCAAGGATTTTCAAGCAAGGAAACTATAGTTAATAACATAAGCTTTAAAACAAATATGCTTGTGCCTCGCAACTCTTAGAGTGTCATGAAACATTAGGCTAGCATGGGAGAGATTAATAAATATTGTTTATAAATTCAAACACACTTATCATGCATTTACATTGGAAAAGATAAATGACTTGCAGTCCAAATTTTGTAACATTAGAGCACTTGGGTTGATTAAGTTTGATAGGGGAAAAAAGAATACCTAAGTAATCCCACTAGAGAGCTTTTATGGTAAACCCAAGTGATTAGGAAAATGATCTTTGATCTTTCTTTTCATATTTCACTATTTTGGAGAAATAGATGATAAACTTGTTAAGATTGGTAATGATGCCAACATGCCTCTTGAAGTAGTTTAAAATTGATCATATTTTCAAATGATTGGAGTGAGATGCTATACTGAACACCAAAAGATCATGATTAGAAATAAAATGGGAGACTTCAGCATTTATTCTAAAGATGCAAGAGAATGCAACATTAGACCAAGAAATCCGCAAATATAGAAAATGTATCCATGACAATTATAAACTAGAAATTAGATAAATTATAACCTTGTCTCAAACCAATATTAGAATTAAAAAACAATTCAATTAACTATTAATAATGACAAAGATCTTGACATTGTGAATATAGAATTGAAACCACTTGCAAATATTTCGGGGAAACCAAATAAAAGGAGCTTGTTATAAAAGGAATAACATGCTCACATTATCAAAAGCTTTTTTGAGATCAATTGCAGCACATCAACTTTGAGAACCTCCTTAACTAAGATAATAATTTTAGCAATATACCTCCCATAAAAGAAGGTAAGTAATGCATGATGGATGAGTTTAGGAAGCATGCTTTTAATATGTTGTCAAGTAATTTGGTGATTACTTTATAAGTAGTATTGTAGAGAGATATTGGTTTATAATTCGCCGCACTTTTATATTGAGGTGCTTTAAGGATTAAGGTATTTGTTTGATAGCATCCATGAAAGCAGATTTGATGACAGTCCAATCATCTTCAAAATATATATATAAGAATATATCCTCTTTTATTTCAACATAAGTGAAATTAGTCATTACGTGATGCTAATCTTATATAAAGATAACGGGACCTAATAGTATGGATTAATTGAGTTTACTAGAGTTATGGTCATCGTTAAAAGAGAGAAGTAGCTAATAACTTCATCAGAAATTCCCAATTGAGACTTAATGAAACCCTAATTAATTTGAATTTCCATGATATACTTTTTATTGCGCATTCTTAAAATTTTTAGTGAAGATATTTGAGGTCAGCATCCCCCATTAGCAAGCCAATAGCACTTAGTCCATTACATAATCTAGCTATTTTTCACATTTCAAAGCCTCAATAAGATTCTGCTATACATGGAGAGCCATATGAAGAATGTTCCCATCTAAAGGATTAGATTCCATGTTATAAAAAATGGATTCATATTTTAATTCAGATTCCTATCTTTATTTGAACCAATTTTGCTGCGAACATAGGAAGATGAACTGCAGATTGCATATTTAAGGACCAGCTTCACATTGCTAAGTTTGTTGGGGAGAGCAAACATTGGATCCCTAATAACAGTGATGTCCTTATTACCCAGCACAATCTCAAAGCAGTTGTGACATAAGGACCAATAATTTTTATATATGAATATTCTCTTGATGGAGGTAGGAGAGTTGATATGGAGAATAATTTGAAAATGATATAAGATGCTAAGGCTAAGGATTTTGTAGTACGATAGAGGGAAGGAGTTTAACTATAGAGCATTTTATTAGGGTTGTCAAAATGAGTTTTCAGGTCGGGTGCGAGTCCAACCCGAGATTGACCCTATTTCAACTCACTTGACCCAAACCCAAACTGTTTAGGAAAATGGGTCATAAACTTAGACTCAAACCAGACCCAACTTGCCCTGACAACCCATTTAGGGGCTATTTGATTTGAAATAAGTATAAAGTAAAGTGAACGCTTGGGTTTTGAAAAGTTTGGTGTCTAGTTGGCTTAAAAATAAATCTATGGTAAAGTAAAGTAAACGCAATGAATTTCATTCTAGTTCATTCTTCAAGTAAACCATTCTCGTCCAGTTTTGAGCGAGAATTAATTACACCGCTCCAAAAGCTTGCTTGGCCACCACCGACGGCCACATTCTCCACCACTTAGATTTTTATTTTTATTTTTATATGATTCAATTCATAATATTTGGAAAAAAAAATCTACATTTATTTGGAAAAAAATACAATCCACATAAACACTTAGCAATTATATAATAAACTTGAAGACAATTTAATGTTAAATTCATTTATTCAAATACTATAATAAATTACACGTACATTTATAAATTCAAATTACAAATATATTTTTACAAATACAAAATAAACTAATTAAACTATAGCTTTCGCATCCCAATAACCAATACCTCTTGGTGAAATTGTCTTCCAATCGATTATGCAATTCAATTGCAAAAAAAAAAAAGTGAAATTGAACAAAAATAATAGTTTTGAAAAACAAGTTTACAAAAGTAAGCATATGATCCAACAAGAATAGATGAACAAGTAAACAAAATACAAAACATAAATTTCACAAAGTGAACCTGAGATGCACATAGTTAGTTCTACAAAATAGACACTATAATTAAAAAGTTCAACTTCAATTCAATAAATATTACTCTCAAACACTTATCCTACGCTACTAAATTAACTGAATTATTGCCTTCTACACTTCATTTTCATTGAAATATAAGCCCATTATATTTTTTTGTAACATAATCAAGTTCAAGATCTCTTAGATATATAAGAGAAGTAAAAAATATGTAAATAAAACTTTAGCTAACTTTATGTATTACCTTGTTCACTATACAACCAATCTTTTGAGCATAACAATGATTCAACAATATCATGTTTTAAAGCAATTCAATATTGGTTTAGAAATTCTACCACTAATACTAAAAGTACTTTTGGAATAAATAATAAAAATTGGAATGCACAAACTATCATGAGCCATGACAGAAACTTCAGGAAATATGTACAAATTACCTTTCTGATACTGTAAGATATCTAATTCAACTCTTCTATCAAGTTTGGGCTTTTCAAAATATATTTCAAGTTCACATTTTATAGGCATTGTAATCTCAGGTTCAAAAGAATCATAATCCTGTATGGACATTAACACATATACTCCATGAGAAAAAAAAAATATATTAATTAATAATAAAAAATAATAATCCATGAGTACAAACTTGAATATTTATTTGATAAAGAGTAAAAGTAAAAAACACTTAGAATTTGTAAAATGTCACCAAGAGAAATTTATATTAATAATTATTATGGAATGACTATTTAAATGGGAGTGTTGAGAAGATAGAATTGCTAGAGATGCAACTTGCATGCTTACTTTCGGGTGGTTTGCAAATAGTGAGAACAACTTCTCACTCACTTTTGCAATCTCACAAATGTAATCACCACTATATAGCTTCTTGTAACACTATTCAATGAAGTTAAATTTATACATTAGATCAAGAATAATAACAATAGCTAAGATAACAATAAAGTCTGACCAATAATTTTTAAACTTAGAAACCATGACAACGTCCATTCTTCTTATATATTCTTACCCGCTAGCCATCTTATGTTTTAAAGTTGCAAATCATTAGATATGCAAGGAAAATAGAAATTTGTAGTTGGATATTTGGCTCCAAAGAATGCACAAGAAATTTTAAATATGCACCATTTTATCCCATTCGTTGTTGGAAGGACAATACTTGTAGTTGGAATCACGCAACTCCAAATGCAAGAAACCACCTCTCTAATAAGTTACACTATCAAACATAATAAAAATTGAATTCCATTTTGTAGACACATCCTGTCTCAAACTTCTTTTACCATCAAGATAACTTTGCCTTAACAAATTCAAAGAATTTATGCTTCCTCGCTTGGGAGTCATTAACATACTTCATGCACTGACACACCTTTAAGATAGAATCGTCTATGTCCTTCAAACCTTCTTTAACCATTATATTAAAAATATGTGCAAAACACCTTATATGAAAAATTTCGCCATTACATATGAGGGCACCTCTCAAAATTAAATGATTTCTAAGAAAGTCAACTGAGACAATATTTGCAAAAGCAATATCTAAGATAACACCGAAGAGCTTACCTTTAATTTTCCAATGAACTAAAAACTATTATAATATTTCAAATAAAGCTATTCCATCTTGATGGGGTGCCATAAAATCAAATTTTATTATATTTTTTGCAAACACTAATTATTATCAATAAAATATGCAGATAAATAGATAAAATAATCTCCGTTGATAGAAGTTATAAATTATATATCAAACAAACTCTACTCTTATTGTTAGATAGTACAACTTGAATATGCATTCTTTCCTCGTAAAATATTTTCTTACAATATTTTTGTCCAATATATCTAGAATCAAGTTGTAATTCTCACTGCAAATAATGAACTAGTGCTCTAACACCTAACCATTCAACACAATGAAATGATAGACCATGCATGATGATGTAAGAAATAAATAAATTATGAAACTCTTGACGATCAAACTTATTTTCAAACATAACATCAATTGGAGTTACTTTGCAAATAAGTTATCCCGTGTCATGAGTATCCCTCTCCTGAAAGTTCTACAAGTGACGTCTTAGATTAGTAGTACCAATTTTATTATCACATTGATAGATTGACCCACATTTTTTTACATTTGCAAGTGATAACATCTCAAAATCAATATACACAGTAGAAGTCATAATTCTTCTTTTCTTTTGAATTCTCACTCCATCTATTTATGCTTCACCAATTTCCCCATCATCAACATCATTAAATTCAGTAGTATCCATGTCATTGTCATTATGATTAGGCATTGCCTCATTATGTTCAATAGAAGTACTCAAAATAATAGTATTAGAATTCTCCATCTAGATATAAAATTTAATATAAATTAAATAAAATTTAGGGGAACCTCAATATACATGATAATAAAATGAACTAGACATTGAACCTTTGATAATTTGAATCACTTTCATATTCATATGCACGTGATTCTCTTGTAAAAAATATAGTGTACTTTGCGAACAACTACATAAGTAGCTTAAACTTAAAGTCATAAAGCATAAAAAACATAGTGATACAAATGCATATTAACATTTCTCTCATACTAAAACCCACAAGCATTGAAGTTGTTGATTATACAAATTTTAAGTAAGACCGAATGACTAAGAAGAAATAATATATCATTGAAGATACAGTTATTGGCGTCAGACAAATTTGAAGGGTGCATAAAGTTGCCCCCAAAATTTTCATCCGATGTTATAATACAATTAGAATTACCAACAATAATCCAAGGCTCCATTAGATAATGAGATATGTCAATGCGTGCACGTAAAAAACCCTTCCATTCAAGAGCAACATTAGCTGGTTCCAATATCAAGGGAGTCCTCAACAATTTCAACCTCAAAGTGAAGGTGTTTGCTTGCATGTTGAAAGACCTAGTTCATGGAGAGTCAGAGGCATGGATGTTGAGATCATAGGTTATGGTGAGATTTAAGGAGGTTGAAGGGGGTCAGTGGAGGGTGGTTTTTGATTTGGAGGTTTGGTAGTCGATGATGACGACTCCTCCCCCTATGCCAATTATCCCATTTGACATCTTACTATAACGAGTGTTGTTGATTGATTTTGGGAAAGAAGCAATATCATTTGCAAAATTAATATGTAATCAATAGCTTGATCATTTTTCTTAACCATACATATTTTATGAGTAACAATTAATAAATGATTCATTATAGTAAATCAAATTATCATTATTTATATTTATTATTAAAGTAACCAATAAGCATAACAAATACTACTAAATACCGATAGACATCAACCCTGATAACATATCTTTGAAAATGATCATACTATTCCACTTTCAAATACTTATATACTTGTAAATTTGGAGGTTCATATTACATGTAAGGATCCAACTCATGCTTATTATTGCACTAGTCATGTCCATTGTGATTCCAACTTAAGAAGAAGTAAATTTTATATATTATGTATTATCACATAAATAATTATCTAAAAAATGAGTGACAATCAATTTTGGAAAATATCATAGCACTCTTTCAACTACTTTTGAAAATATAGTCTAAAATCAACTAATAAAAATATTATGAAAAACTTTTTGCCAATATATTTTGATGTAAACTGCATTAGAGTAGGCTTTAAAATACTAGAATTTCAGGATATTATATACACTACTAATCTCAACACAAATCAATGGCTTTAAACCCATCACAATATGCTTTACGCAAGATTATCCTAACAATTTTTTTTTTCAAATATTAACTTCTCCCCCAACAAGCTTGAGATGCAATTGGAGTACATGAGCACAAATTCACAGTAAATATGAGCTACTTGAACAATTGTATCAATTATATAAAACATGTATCCATTATAAAGCCTGCAACATAAAACTAGCTAAAAATATATTAAACATGAAACAAAATTTATTATATGAAAAACTGAATAAGTTGAGCTCTTTATTGCATCCAAAACGAAGTGAAAAAATTTGAAGCAATAACCTCTAACAATAATGCAAGTGAACTAGTGAAGAATACAAAAAAAAATAAAAATTTGAAGAGCATAAAGCACTGGCATTTAAAGCGGTTTTAATGAAAAAATAAACCATTGCATTAGGAGCGCGGCCCTTGACCTGTGTTGATCCATGACTATCTGACTATACAAATCTTGAACCATTTACCTAGACTACTCAATATGCTAGTCCAATATAGAAAAAAATCAATAAGCTCAATAAAATATATAGTTGAATGTGACAAACATTCAACTTCTCTAGTAGTACATATAGCATTGTATCAACATTAGAGGATTTAGAAGCGGAGTCTTCAACCTATTCAAGTCTAGGACCATCCAACTACGTTGTTCATGAATTGTTCACCTATGCGAATATTAGAACTACTTTATATGTCGATCCTAAACAAGGGAGTTATTAGTAGCGACCTTCATTTGATTTACGCTGGACTACATTAAAGGGAGTAATTCTAGGTTAGTCACCATTTCTATATATTTTTCTTGGGGTCATTGTGGCTAAAATTACCATCGTTTCCTTATGTATCTCACCATAAGGAGCATAACTAAATATTTACTACCACTACACTTCACCAACATTATTTTAAGCTATACTCCACATAGTAATCGACATTTTCATCAACAGATGCAAATAAAATAAGAAGTCCAATGAACTAAAAACTATTATAATATTTCAAATAAAGCTATTCCATCTTGATGGGGTGCCATAAAATCAAATTTTATTATATTTTTTTTGCAAACACTAATTATTATCAATAAAATATGCAGATAAATAGATAAAATAATCTCCGTTGATAGAAGTTATAAATTATATATCAAACAAACTCTACTCTTATAGTTAGATAGTACAACTTGAATATGCATTTTTTCCTTGCAAAATATTTTCTTACAATATTTTTGTCCAATATATATAGAATCAAGTTGTAATTCTCATTGCAAATAATGAACTGGTGCTCTAACACCTAACCTTCAACACAATGAAATGATAGACCATGCATGATGATGTAAGAAATAAATAAATTATGAAACTATTGACGATCAAACTTATTTTCGAACATAAAAATAGATCAATTGGAGTTACTTTGCAAAATAAGTTATCCCGTGTCATGAGTATCCCTCTCATGAAAGTTCTACAAGTGGCGTCTTAGATTAGTAGTACCAATTTTATTATCACATTGGTAGATTGACCCACATTTTTTTACATTTGCAAGTGATAACATCTCAAAATCAATCTACACAGTAGAAGTCGTCATTCTTCTTTTCTTTTGAATTCTCACTCCATCTATTCATGCTTCACCAATTTCTCCATCATCAACATCATTAAATTCATTAGTATCCATGTCATTGTCATTATCATTAGGCATTGCCTCATTATGTTCAATAGAAGTACTCAAAATAATACTATTAGAATTCTCCATCTAGATATAAAATTTAATATAAATTAAACAAAATTTAGGGGAACCTCAATATACATGATAATAAAATGAACCAAACATTGAACCTTTGATAATTTGAATCACTTTCATATTCATATGCACGTGATTCACTTGTAAAAAATATAGTGTACTTTGCGAACAACTACATAAGTAGCTTAAACTTAAAGTCATAAGCATAAACAACATAGTGATACAAATGCATATTAACATTTCTCTCATACCAAATTAATGCCTATTTTTTTTTTTAATTTTGAAAGATTAACGGTTGAGAAATGAAATAGAAAAATATTATGAATAAAAAAAAAATTCACCTCTTTGCCCGAAATGCCTTGCTTGTCATAATAGTTGCATTTCCCTCCTTTTTAGAAAACTAAACCCCGAGCTAGGGTTTTCCGCAGTGCAAGGAAGACGAACCCCGGAGCTTTGCAATGGCGGGCGACGCGGACATGAACGGATGGACGGAGCTTCTCCACTCCTCGACGAAGCTGCTTGAGCAGGGCGCACCATCCACCCAGTTTCCCCCGCTTCAGGTCTCTTTCTAGTATTAGTTTAAAATTAACCTATTTTTCTCTCTCTCTCTTTATTTAAATCGTCGGGTTTCGCAGAGGAATTTGGACCAGTTAGAGTCGCTCTCGAAGAAGCTCAAGGCTAAAACCCTGAGGGCCGAAACCCCCTCTCAGTCCATTGCTGCTACCCGGTATTCTCATGCCCTTGTCCAAATGCTGCTTGATTCACTAATATATCATTTAAAAGCGGTGAATATAAACGTTGGGATTGTTCCGTGCGCGATTTTGATGGGTTATTTACTTACTTTAATATCTTTTTGGATGTTTTGTGTTGGTGGAAAAATATTTTTTGTGTGCAGGCTATTAGCTCGTGAGGGAATTAATGCTGAACAGCTTGCTCGGGATCTTAAGTCGTTTGAGATAAAGGTAATCTTATTTGCATTAATTCCATGTTATCTTAGCATCTTACTTAGATATTAGATGCCATATGTGTTTGTGAAAGAGATCATAGTCATACTCTTTTGTGAAAGAGTACTCTAGATAGTAATTGATAGAGTTAATAATAGTAGAGAACATAGTAGGAGCATGAAACTGATATTGTGATTGGTTTTAAATAAATTCCAGACCACCTAAACTCTGCTTAATCATGCAGACAACTTATGAAGATGTCTTCCCTTCAGAAACAACTACAGTGGAGGAGTATCTGCAGGAGGTAACTTTACACCTGATCTCCTTGGCCTTCCTTCATCTGGATTGAGAGGGTTACGGTTTCAGTTAATTTTTTACTGATCCTTTTACTAGGTCTCAATGACAGTTTGTTTTGTCTTTTTTCATCGTGATCTGGAAGGCTGAGGACTAATTTAGGCATTTGTGATTGCAATAATTTTATTTTTTTTCAAGATGCACACAGAATCTTGCAGAATAGTTCGGGTGACTTAATTAATGGCAACTTCTAATCATGTGATAGCCATTTGAACATGTGTCTGTCACTTAGATGCCGTTACATACATTTGTATTTTTCTTATAGACTATTCATCATAATGTATCAATAGTGCATTGAAAAAGTAAAAAAGTTATCTCTGCATCTTTTCATTTATGTCATCCGGAACAGTAATCAACATGTAGCAAATTTTTGGCAATAAAACATTACTATTAGTGATTTATCACCTGCAGGTACATGAAATGACAATGGTCTCAGCAATCCAAGAAGCACAAAAGGACAATTTACGAAGTTTTAGTGACCACATGATGCGAGTCCTGGAGGTTAGATATTTATGCAACACTCTCAGCTAATTGATCTTATTGTGATGTTGCAATCATGTTATCCGTGGATGATATTTAAATGTATGGCTGAAGCTATAAAGTTAAGATGTCATATATTGAATTTCTATCCTAATGCTTATATGTGGGAAGAAAGTGTTGCATGAGTGCAATCATTTCCGTCTTCCTTTCTAGATCAGTATTTTAATAGATCGCTTGATTTATTTATTTATACTCATAAGGGGCATCTCCCATAGTGGTAGTTATATTCAAGAAGCAGATTGTACTTTATTTTGAATCGTTCAATGAGCTTGCAAGTTAAAAATCATTAAGCTGTAAATTTAGTAAATTTATTGTTTTTTATGAAGCTTATTGATATTTCTATGCTACTAGAAATACATGTGGGACACTATTTTTGTGAAGTTGTAGTTCATATTGGACATTTGATTCGATAATCCATCACTTTGTATTTCATTTAGATATCCCACTATGTTTTACTTGCATATTTCATCATTGTTGTTTGCAATCATGTCTCTCATAACACACACAAAATGATTTTGATTAGTATATTGCCAAAAATATTCAATTCAAAGCACATGTCACTAAGAATCTGTTTGGCAATGATAAAATAGTTGCATCATTAGAAAATGAGCTTGAAGCATCAATATGCTAGAGATTGGCACGGCCATCTCAAAACAAATTATGGAAAACTTGTTTACACAAATATATGTCAATGAAGCATCTAGTATTGGATCAACTATTATACCACAAAATCTTTCATCTGACATAAAAAAAATGATTCTAGATTTCCTAATGATTTAATCGAGAATCTAGAATAACTTACACAATCTACTTATCTTGCATAATTCAGGGGGCCTATCTTGAATTATCACTTTTGTGCTTGTAATGATGCTATAGGTTAAAAATGTCCTGCCCAATGACACTACCAAATTACCAGTATAAATTCCACTCCTCAAACCCCTTTAAAAGGGGAGAAGGGAGCTTTGCAAAACCATCATCCATATTGATGATGAAGAACACAAATCTAAACTAATATCTTTTTAGGAAGAGGACTATATTAGCTGCTAGTTAGTCATTCCTGATGTTATTGTTTCCTGAAGAAATTCAAATTTAAATTGATGTATAATTTTTTTGGGGGGCACAGAAGATCTTTTTGCTATTGCATTCCTAAACTTAATATTTTTTGATTGACATTTGATTTCATCTTTTCTACTCTGTTATTTCAAATCTAATAGTTTCAATACCATGTAGGATGATTGGCAAAATGTGAAGAAGGATTTTATGCAAAATTTAAATAGACTGGCGTCCTTGCCAAGGATAAATACTGGCATTTCAAGCAATGTTCCCAACCGTGCTGCTCAAATTTCATCCAAAGAATCCAGTCCTCAGGTTTTTGGAGGTCCATCTACAAGAAACCTCATATCTCTTGGAAACAAACCAGTTATTGAGAGGAAAGCATCAGTTTATTCTGAAACTGCAAGGATTCTCAATGACACCAGGGGCCGTGGATTGCCTTTTAAAGTAATAATCACTCAGTAATTGTGTCTTTTGCATATTGTAGATTATTGGTTTTTTTATCTTAAATACATATTTGTGACTGTAACTTATGGATTCTGTTGTTTTTGGTGCATTCTTTCTCCAAACAAAGGTAATACCTTGGAAAATTCATTTTTCACTGTAGTATTATGTCCATCTCTTTTGAAGTTATTAATTATAGGCAGTCTGTCTTTGCTCTTAAGGTTGTGGATGATGTTGCTTCATGTTGTTTGTTTGTTTCTGTTGTAGTTAATTTGTTTTGTTTATCTCAATACTTGTACTTGTTAGTTATGAATATTGTTGTTTTTAGGTCATTCATCTACCAAGAAAAGATAGTACCATGGAACCCTAAACTATTACTTTTGAAGATTTTAATTTTAGGGTGTCACGCCTCACCTTCTTCTAGGCTATCATGAGTCATAATATAAGCTTACAATCTGGACATACTTAAATCTCACTACACCATCCTGATTTAATTCATCAGGATTAGACGAGTGAAAATGTTTTGACTCTAACTTCCAAAAAAATAACATTTAACCATGTCTAATAGAACAATCATAAGCATTAAAATGGAATAAATCATCATTTCAAAAATAAAGCTTTTAATGTAACTATCAAATAAATTCATACATACCCAAAATCTTGATTTACATCATCATAAATATCTCTCACAATTTTTGAATCATACATCCATAAAATTTGGCGTATAGAGCAAAATACATCACCTTTTTTCATGCTTATATGCTTAGACATTTTTGTGTCATAATTCTCTTGATATGGGTTGGTCTCTTTCATCTCACTAGTAACAAGGGTCAGAAATTTCTTTCTATTTTCCTGGTACAGGTTTGGATTGTCCCAACTCGACAGTATCAGGAGTTAGGAATGCATTTTTCATTTTCATGATAAGGTTTGGACCATTTCAAATCACTAATATCATGAATTGTCACTTCCTGTGTAGTTTAGCAAAGTTAGCCCACGTAACTCACACCTTTCATAGGATTCTTTGAATTTCATTTTTATTATTTTTAATCTTTAACATTTGTTGGCATTGACATAAACGTTTATTTATCATTTCATGATGATGTAAAAACATGATAATTGTTGAAATACTCAATTTTGCATCTTATTTAATTGAATAATCTTGTACTTGCAATTAATTGAAATCATATAAATCAGTGATTATATGACATGAATATATGCATAATATGCATTAAGCTCTTTGATGAATGCGCAAAAAATGAATTTGTGATGAGTTAGAGAAATCATAAAATGTGTAAATTTTAGTCTTAGAAATTATTTGACTCTTATATTAGAAGACCGAAATAATCAAGTACTCATTGTGACGGATTTTATTATTTTTCTCTTTGATGCATCAATCTTTTGTAAAAAAAATTAAATTGCTTTTCTCTCATTTAACCCTTTTGTTTCCTACAACAAGAACTGAAATCGACGGGTGGGAAATTTTTTGAAATTTCTTACCTTTCTTTTTTCTTCTTCTTGCCTCATCTTCTATCTTCTTCTTGCCTCATCTTCTATCTTCTACTTTCCTTATCTTCCATCTTCTTCTTCATTTTTATTTTTCTTTTCTTTATTCTCCTACACTTGCCACACTACATGAATACCTTTGTTCAGCCAGTAGCTCCCCCCCTCAAGCTCTTATTCAGTCTGATGTTTATGACGTTTCTTCCACTGGGATTGGGTAGGTGATTAGGGTAGATTTATATGTTATTTATAGGTATATTTATATATTTTAATTATGATTTATTCTCAATTTCATTTCCAAAGCTAAACCACCTCAGCCCACCGTCCTTGATGTCAGAGAAAAGGTTGGAAACCTCAAGAGAAGGCGTTGCTACAATGCATTAATTCAGTGCTATAGTATTATGAAACTTAAAAACTTCAGTTGGTTTAGGAAATTACATAGTTTGATATAGATACGTCTTTTGTAGATGAATTCGTATATCAAAATGTTTGAAATGAGACAAAATTTAATAATAATGATTCTTATAAATTTTGGGATGCTTGAAAAGCTGGGTATAATTTTAGGGAGAAATTTTATCTCTTTTTTTTTTTTTTGAAAAATTTGGGTGTTACGAAGGGAAGCTTGCATTTTCTATTAAGGGTTTGGATGGTAATACTGCATTTTATTTAGTATTTCTATTTATAGCTGTTGCATGACAATATTGTAGGCAACCAATTTCTTGCATCATAGGAAGTTTCTACATCACTGCCTGTTCAAACACAATAGAATGGATTCATTAGGGTAGGATTAGTCATGCTTTCCATTTTGAGGCTTCTCTCTCGCATGGAGACATGCAGGTAGGGTCAGTTATACTTTGGAGTTGCTTTTGGGTGATGATACTTTCTTGATGGCATGGTAAGGATTTTGTGGTGTTTAGTTATTTCTTTTCTCTTTATTACTCCTAAGGCATTGACATGAACCCCTGTTCATGACTTGGTTGATTGGATTGAGCTCTAAAAAATTGTGCTCGACATGTGCTTAATGCACTATTAATATGCTCGTGCAGATAGCGTGCACAATCTTTCTATTCATTCCAGATCATTAATAGCCTGGAGAGTACAATACTCCAAACCTTGTGCTTTTATTCTATCCATTCTTTGGATCTTTAATAGCATGATGGTTACGACATTCCAAACCTTAGGCTATGGAGCACATTATTGTACACTATTGATAAATATTTTCTAAAAATCTCATATTATGTTTTAATTGTTTTCATAATCATCTTGATTTTTTGTTGAGTTCTTAGGATTTGTTTATCTGATGTTTCTCCTGTATTGCAAAATTCTGAAGGATATGTTTGTAGCAAATTGCCTAACATTAGAGTGAATCTTACCACAAACATGTGATGCTTAATCAAAAGCACTACCAAGGTGCTCACCTTTTTCAGTTGGAATGTTTGCAAAGCTTGTATGTAATTAGTTGGCAATTGGCATTTGCCTTTTCCTGGCACTTTGGCAATAGTTTCTCAATAATTATGCTTAGCACCTTTGTATTCGGCACTGGCATCCATGCATGGAAACTCTACTGTATCTAGGGGAGTAATTTCATAGTTAGTACTTCAGAATCCTGTTTATAATACTATTGCTTGTCATTGAATTGTAAAAAGGCATAGATGCTCTATTTGTTCTGTAAGAACTATTAATCACAAGTGTAGAGTTTGATAGGTTATGTTACGTTAGCAATTTCTTAAGCCTTAATATGTGGATAATGTTATATTTTTGGCATATTTAAGTTCCCTGCATTAATTACTGTTTTTTCTTATGGTTAGCCTGCTACAGCATTCAGGAATGCTTATGAGAGTCTGGGTCTAGATCGTTCTGGTGGAAAATCAGTCACTATGCAGAAAATCTGGCACCTAATTCAGGTATATATGAACCATAATAGCCTATTGCCTACCACTGAATCAATTTGACTATTGCATCTGCGATTTTTTATGGATGTTCTCATTGATGAAGTTGATTCAATATGATTCAGGAATTGGTTGGTGAGGGATTTAAAATTCAGCAAAATGTTTCAAGAAAAATGTCTTTGGTAATTGGGGCAAGGCACCATCTTGAATGGGGTCATGAGAAGTACATTATGGATACTATTCAGAGCCACCCAGCACAGGTTAGATTTGATATGATTTATAAAAGAAAATAAACCAAAATAAACATTTATTTTTTACATGTGATTGTAGTCTTCTATGTGTTGCCATTCAACATTTATGTCTCAGTCTTTTATGCAAGCACCTTATTTTGGGTCTCATAGTACTAACTTGATCTTTTGATGGCCGAGCTGAATTATAGAATGTACAATTCATCCCTATGCTTGTGTTTCTGTTTTTGTTAGATGTATCTTGAGCATTTTTCCGTCAAGCTCTAGCGTATCTTGAAAGATCCTGATGTGCAACTGCCCTATTGCTTTTCAAGCTACTGCCTTTCTTATCTGCAATTGCCTCTTTTCTGGTATATGCTATAGTGCTGCTACACTATTCTTCCACCTGTTATAGTCTTAGTGATGTGACACAAACAGAATTACTAGGACTTAATAAAATTATTATAAAGCTTGTCACTTTATGATTAATAAACCACAATGATTAGCTTTAAGAATTTTCAATTGAAGTTTGCTTTGACATGCAGTCACAAGTTAGGAGAACAAAACAATTAAAATACTATTAGAAAAAATACATTAAGACTAATTATGACGTAATAAGAATCCACATGTTAATATTTAGAACTTTCACCTAAAGTTTCCTCTCACTCACACTCTATGAAGGGCTCTAGCGGAGAGAGACTTTCAGCAATCCAAATGACGCCAACAAGAGAGATAGGACACCGACAGTCTTGATTCACGAGAAGGTAGCCGGAGAAGGGGACACAGGTGGATGTCCGACGAGTTGCCACTGCCCGGAGGGTCGTTGTTCGTCGATAGTCTCGGCTAGGTGGAATAGTATGCGGTCGACGTAATCGTCGAGAAAATCTTGAACTCCCAGTTGGGGTCGAAGAAGGACGACTGAAGAATACTGATTTTCCCTTGAGAATCGTACGCGAAACTGTGGTCGACTTCAGGATCGGCCATCCATGAATACGGGAGACTTCTCTTTGAGATCCTTAGAGGGTCGACGATTTGTGAAGGAAGATTTAGAAGGGAGGGAGGGGCAGGTTGGTGGAGAAGATTTGAATAGGGGAGGGGGCATCTAGGCTTGGGTTTTGGGCTAGGGACGTAGAAGGAAACAATTTAGAAAATATGAATTTAATTTCAGATTTTCCAAAGAGAGGGAAAGGGAATAATTTGAACTCAAAACTATCCCAAATAGGGTTATGGGGGGCTGGCGGCTTAGGAGGGATTTATTGGGATATTAATTGAGGTTAGGGATTAAATTGGAGAGAGAAAAGGCAAGGGGGAGGGGCTGTCTATATGAGGAGGGAGAGTGAGTGTCTAGGTTCAATATATGTGGGCTCTTGATTTTAATTAGTAATTGAAATCAAATCTTTGATTTAATTTCTAATTGAGATAATTATGGGATTTCCTATAATAGATTTTTTAAGAAGGAAAGGGTTTGAAATTCAAATAAATATTTGAACTCAAATAGGAAACTTTCCTAATCAATAATAGAATATTTTAGGAAGGTGATTAAGAGGGGAATTGAAAGGGGGAATCTAGGGTTTAGAATTGGCAAGGCCGGCGGCTAGGAGGGGCTTGGGTGGGCTGGTGGTTAGAGGGGAAATGGGTGAGGCTTGGGTCGATAGGAGGGCGACAAGGGAGGCTCTCGGTTTTGAAGGGGGGGGGGAATGGGGTGAAGCTGGCGGATGGGGGTTTGTTGGAGAGGGAACCGGCGGGGGGAGGAGGTGGAGGAGGTGGTCGGAAGTAAGGGGGGATAAGGGAAGGATAAGCTCTCGGACTCTTCCAAAGACTGATGAGTATTGCAATCATTCTCACATAGGGTTTGCTTTCTTCTCTCAAAGCTCACAAAATTGAAGAAGACAAAAACTAGAAATTTTTATTCATCAAATCATTAACCAAATACAATAGAGGGGGCCTTTATATATAGGCCTCAACATGACAAAAAGAAAAGAACTAAAGTACCCTCGGGGCTACAATATCAAGCTAACTACCCATAGGGGTAAAATAGGAAAAACTGAAATATAAAATAAACAATACATAAAATGTATCAAAAATAAAGGCTCCTGATCGTGGTCGGTGATCTCCGATGCCTCCTCTGATAGACGCGCCAAAATCTCATGTTGATGTCCTCATCACTTAGAAACCCGATTCTTTTTTTTATCTTTTGCTTCACGCTACTGTTCCTCTACCAATGATACCTTTGTTAGCATCACCTAACTTCATTTTGATGTTGTTTTCTTTCTTAGTTTGTTGAGTTCTTATAATTAAATTATTGTTTTTTTGGGAGTATTTCTAGTTCTTGAATTCATGAGGGATGAATTGAAACTTGCTGTTTTTGATTAAATTCTGTCAAATTTTCTCTAGTTTATCCTAGGCTACGAATAGGATCTCTTCGTCATGTAAACGTTATTGAACATTGAATATTGAAATATAATTTTAATTTTTTTCTCTTTTTGCGCGTGCTTGTTGGATGTGTACTCTTCTAGTGCAACACATGCATCAATGACAAAGAGAATTGGGGTGGGGGTGAGGGGTACCAATATGAGGCCTAGTTCTTCACTTTGAGATGGTTTTTACATTTATTGTACTTTAAATTATTGAGTCTCTAGTTTTGTATGTATGATTGGAATTTAATGAAGTGTTATATGTACTATATTTTCATTTCAATATGTGAACTTAATCATTCTTGAATTTTATGTTTGGTCAACAATTTCTTTGCACTTGTCTTTAAATTATTTAGCTGTTAGTTTTACTTTTTTGATTGGAATTTAATGAAGTGTGATATGTACCAGATTTTTGTTTCTAAATGTGAACTTATCATTATTGAATTATGTTTGGTCAACGCTTTCTTATAAAATTTCAGATTGTGAGTGATTTTCATTTTTCAGCATGCCGGATCTTGGCTTAATAAAAGAAATATAGGGAACCAATCTTCCTTCCAATTTCATATTAACCTTTCACCCCGCAATCGAAAATTATAAAACTAGTGGAAGCTAAAGCTTTGAAAATATTTATTTTTTAATCTTCTAGTGGAAGCTATTGCTTTAAAAAGATTTTTTTGTCTTCCCCTTCAAATTTAAGAAAAGGCATAACAATCTTATAATCTTCATCTTATGAAGGCTGAACCATCTTTGCAAAGGTGCAAACCGACTTTTTTTTCATTTGCTCTAGAATTATACCCACTTGACACATTAGTTTTCGATGAAATGTTATTTTTGAATACCCTGGTAAATCTTTTGGATACCATGATTTTTCCTTCTTCTGGGTCAAATCAAGTTTGATCTTATCAAACCTAACTAATTGACCTACCTAACTCGACTGATCCAACCCATCAGGTTGACTTTACCCAACTATAAGCCAAGTGGGAAAAAAAGAGACATAACTGATTTTCTTTAGTTTTTTTTTATAATTATTTGATTAATTTTGATTATTTAATCATTATGTATGAAAGTATGTAGACTTCTAAGTTCTAATTATATTTTTCAAAATCTGAGTTTTTATCGCTAGGGCTTTCCATCGATGTTATTGATAATGATGGTGTTATTCTTCCTTTAGTTTTTGTTAGGATGTATTTCCCATTCACGCCCATATAAATATTTTCCTTCCATTCCATCTGTACTTTTTAGAATGGATTTCTCACAGGATGGATTTCACTAGCTTAACATTGTATTAGCTGAGCTCTAATTCTTCTTCCAATAATATTTCAACTCTCTATTGTTTAGTTCTTTGCAACTTAGGGGAATATATCAAGTTAGAATTAGATTTTCTATAAAAAATTATGGATATTATATTAGATGTAGTGGTCTTAGGTTTTAATTCAAGATGATTAATGAATTAATTAAAATGTGGTTTTTCTTTGGCATCCTCTTTGAGAATTAATTTTTTTCATTCTATACCTCCTACATATTCGCAGTTTCTTTTATCTTTTTATCCACTTTACCCTCTTTTTTTTTTATAGATCGGATTTTTCTCTTTTCAACAGTATGCTATCAAAAGTTTATCATGTTATTTGCTTCCATTGCACTGTTCTATGTTAATTCCCTTCTCTATTATTTTTAGCTTGTGCATCAAAGAGTTCAACAAACTTCATTGCAATCTTTGATTACTTGGATGTAGAGGCAATTCCACGAAGTAAGTGTTAGATGGTAGATCGGGAGTTAGTAGTGAAGTTAATTATCGATCTATCTCCATTATTAGTCCACCTATTTGACTTAAGTACTCCAACTCTTTTCTAACAAGACCCTTTTATGCTCCTTTATCCCTTTTTTGTATCCTCAACTCTTATCAGCAGATGGATTTATAACTCATGATAATTTGAGGGTTTTATTCCCAATCATATTAAATAATAATGGCAGTGTTGTTTTTCCCCTTTGTTTTTTCTGAAGATAGATTTTTCATTCACACCTATATCTTTGGATGTGTTTTTTTTTTTTTTTTTTCTGTGAATGAATTTCTCCCATTGGAGCTGCAGAGCACTGATGTTATCCTGGGCATGAGATGATTGCAGACCTTGGGGGATACTGACATTTGGGCTGATGGTGATTAAGGGAGATACAAGATTCTCCAAAGCCATGGTGTCACTAAAAATCATGGTAAGAGCCATACAAAAAGTGAGAGGAGGATTTCTAGTGGAGCTACAAAGCTTGGAGGAGATCAGAGGGGAGGAAGGGGGGACATTCCTTTTTTTTAGTACAACCGGTTATACATCAGTTCCGTGAGGTTTTTCATCCACCTCAGGGATTTCCACCAAGAGGGGACATGAGCATGCCATCATGTTGAGGGATGGGGTATCACTGATCAGTGTCAAGCCTTATTGCTACCTCCAAATCCATAATGATGAGATTGAGAAGCTGATCCGGGAGATGTTGGAGACTGGGATCATCAGGCCGAGTGTGAGTCATTTTTCTAGTCCAATTCTACTGGTTAAAAAGAAGGATGAAAGATAGAGATTTTGTGTGGACTATTAGACCCTGAATAAGGAGATTGTGCTAGACATGTTTCCTATCCCAGTGATAGATGAGCTTCTAGATAAGTTTTGTGGGGCATCGGTATTCAAGAAGGTGAAGCCTGGATATCACCAGATCCTGATGAGAGAGGAAGGTGTTCCAAAGATAGCTTTCAGGACACATGAGAGACACCATGAGTTCTTGGTGATGCCTTTTGGTCTCACCAATGATCCTGCTACCTTCCAGTCCTTCATGAACAAGGTGTTCCAACCTTACGTCAGGAAGTTTGTTTTGATTTTCTTTGATGATATCTTGGTATATAGCAAGTCTAGTGAGGAGCATTTGGAGCATCTAAGGGCGGTCTTATAGGTGTTATAGGAGTATTAGCTGAGGGCCAATCTGAAGAAGTGTTGTGTTTTGCATAAGTGAGTGTGGAGTACTTGGGGCATGTGGTATCCCAGGAAGGGGTGACCGGCCTCTACCTAGGAGCCCAGCCCAAGGGAACTAAGAGGTTTCTTAGGATTGACGGGGTACAATAGAAGGTTCGTGAGGGGATACAACACCATTGCTTGGCTTCTGACAAAGCAGCTGAAGAATGAACAGTTTCTTGTGGGGAGAGGCAGCTACTTAGGCCTTTGAGAGATTGAAGATTGTCTTAACTACGGTTCCAGTCCTAACACTACCCGATTTTAGCCAGATGTTTGTGGTGGAGATTGATTTCTCAGGATATAGATTGGGGCGGTGCTCATGCAAAATCACAGACCCATAGCCTACTTTAGCCAGGTATTGGCAGCTAGAGCTAGACTGAAGTCAATTTATAAGAGGGAATTGATGACCATTGTATTGGCTATCCAGAAGTGGCGACCGTACTTGAGTGGCCGATATTTCATCGTTAGGACCGACTAGCAGAGCCTGAAGTACTTACTAGAGCAGATTATGGTGACTTTGGAGCATCAGAGATGGTTGTCAAGGCTGCTTGGATGTGATTTTGAGAGCTAGAAGTAAGCCAGATTCCTTGTTTATATGCACGGGGGAGCTCCCGGAGTAAGCATTTCAATACCGCTAATATTAGATTGGGGGCTATTAATGAAGAAAGTGCGCATGAAAAGGAGCTGAGAATGATCAGAGAGGATCTGCTGAAGGATGAGAATAACCATCCTATCTATTCCTTAGATGGTGAGAGACTTCTATACCATGGGAGGTTTGTGCTACCACGAATCTCAATTTATATTTCACACTTGCTACAAGAGTTTCACGGGAGCACTGTTGGGGGTCACTCCAGTGTATAAAAGACATACAAGAGATTGACTACTGAATTATATTGGAAGGGGATGCATAAGGATATAGAGGAGATGGTGGCTAGGCGTGTGGTTTGTCAGAGGAACAAGTATATGTCTATGGCTCTAGGGGGGCTACTATTGCCCTTTACTCTTTCAGGCAGAGTGTGGGAAGAGGTCTTTATGGATTTAATAGATAGACTACCTCGATTGGAGGGGTTTACATTTATTCTGGTGGTGCTGGTTAGACTAAGAAAATATGCTCATTTCATTCATCTATGACATCCTTACACGACAGTAACAGTGGCGTCGGCTTTCATTAGAGAGATGGGCATATTACACGGGATACTGAAGTTATAGTGTTCAATCGAGACAAGGTGTTCCTCAGTTAATTTTGGAGGGAGTTGTTCAGGTTGCAGGGGACTGTGCTGAAGAGGAGCACTGCTTACCACCCTCAGACAGATGGGCCGACGGAGATGATCAACAAGAGCTTGGAGATATATCTATTATGCTTTGCTTTAGAGACATCTCGCTTATGGGCTAAGTGGCTGGTGTGGGTGGAGTACTGGTATAACACTTCGTACCATTTGACGTCCTAGATGACTCCTTTCAAAGTGTTGTACGACAGAGATCCACCTCACTTGGTGCACTTTGGGCTGAGTAACATATCAATCTTTTCAGTGGAGATGTGTTTGGAAGAGCGGGATAGGATACTAGAAGAATTGAAAAGACATATGTTGAGGGCTTAGCAGATTATGAAAAGGCAGGCTAATGAGCACAAGAAAGACATTCAGTTTGAGGTAGAGGATAGATTGTAGTTGAAGCTTCATCCCTATAAGCAGAGGACAATGACTAGTAGGAGGAATGAGAAGTTGGCTCCAAGGTAATTTGGCCCTTATTAGTCAGTGGAGAGGATCAAAGCACTGACGTATCGACTGAAGCTCTCGCTAATCGCAACCATACACCTAGTATTCCATGTGTCATAGTTGAGGAGAGCTATAGGGGTGTAGGGGATCACACTTCAATTGCAGAGTTACCAGTGACACTGACAGAGAATTTGGAGGTGGTTTTAGAATCATTGGAGTTGATATGAGTACGACAAGGGGAGGGGCGAAGTAAGGAAGTGTTGATTAAGTGGAAAAATCTACCTGAGTACGATGCTACTTGGGAGCCGTATGAGCGGATGAAGCATCGTTTTCTGTCCTTCCACCTTGCGGACAAGGTTGTTCTTTGGGAGGAGGATACTGTTAGATTGACCCAGGAGGCGCCGATTCAGTAGTCCCAAAGGGATCTGCCCAGTTTTATACCAAGTGAAAGCTTGGTTCCGCCCCTCTTGGGGTGGGATCCATGTGTTAAGGAAGAGAGAGAAAGAGGGGGGCGATGAGCGGGGGATTTGAATTTAAAGGGCTGTTTAGACTTTTTACTGTGTATTGTTTGCTTTTAATAGTTATTCTCATCTTCGGGTTAGGGTTATGCTTGTGTTTTTCTAAATTTAGGAGTTCTCTAGGTTCGCTTGGGCTCTAGTCACCGGCTAGAGATTTGGAGAGCTGGATCTTCCTCTCGAACTGAAGATCTATTGTATCTTGTTTGTTTTCTTTCACTTTTCATCAATTATCAGATTTCTCTATTGATTTGTCAAGGGATTTCTTCAATTTCTGCTTGGTACTTGCTGAAATTCCAAATTTCAGCCACTTTTTTTTCGTGATTTCTGCACTTGTTTCCTATCATTTTGTCTGGAAGGTGTTTCCATAGGGTGGTAGGAAACTCTTGAAATTGTCATATGAATAAAATTAGATGAGTGCTTGTTATATCAAGAGGTTGATTGGTAAAGTTAGTCTGATTGTTTGTTCAATGAAAGAGAAAAGAATCATGCTGCTTTACCACTACATAAAATGTGGGTACATTGCTAAAGTGCACATTTTGTAGTGCTAGGCGACTTTTCTATAGGTGCCAGGCTTTGTGAGTTTGCATCGTGGCATCTCTCTTTGAAATCGTGCTTTTGTTCACACGTTTAACAATAATGGTTCATATTACTTTGTTTGTATGTATAACTTCAAAAAAAAAACTTCAGGTGTTCAATGATTTAAATAAAACAATGTAAAGATACCTTAGCAAGTACTGAGTTGGTTGTCTAGCATGCCAGTTTCCTTACACTTATTAATTTTTTTGTTTTGTATGCATATGAAAGTAATTGAATCTCACTTTCATAAGTGATTTCATGTATTTGTTTTGTTGCAGCTGGATGCAACCTTCTCATTCTTGAAACTCATTTTCAAAATGAAGAGAAATGAGTTCCATCTATTGGGCTAGGTTGTATCATTTATAATTTTGGAAGGTAGATAAAAAAAAATCCATTGGGCTAGGTTGTCATCTTCAATTTTACGTAAAAAAAAATAGTAAATTAATCTGATGATGAGTCAGAATACTACTACTCTTATACTAATAATAATAAAATGATAAAAAAATGAATGTGAGTGGGTTAGGGGGATGTCAAACTGAAAGTATTTGTAGCCTAAATGAACATAGAAATTAAGTTTACATGATGTAAATTTCTGTAAAACAAATATATCTATGCAACTTACTTTAAGGATTGAGATCCAAGCATTTTTAAATAGTTATAGTGAAAAAAAAACTACCCTCATATCAGCAAGTCACAATATAGTTTGGGTGCTTGACGGCTAGCATCTAGGGAGCCCATGTACACTTTTGTTCCCTTAGAAAATTCGCTGCATGGTGATCTAATTAATGCTAGAGCTTCTTTTGGCTGATTGAATGTCTGTCTCCAATGAACACTAAAGGGACTTGGTTGATTTGCTCTAGTTGGAAGTCCTTTAGAATTTTATGCATGTTTGCACTCGTTATTGTTTTTGATGAAGGATTTAGGATTTGTTTGGGGAAATTGTAGCTTTGATAAAATGGTTGTAGAGCTATTGTGTGGAAATCAATTTTTTTTTAAAGTTGTTATGGGTATTATAAATATTTCTTTTATAAAAGTAGGATTGTAGCATTCTTACAGCTACCACCCTCTAGCAAATTTGGTTGTAAAAAAATAGCATTCCGCCACTAAAGTTTCTGAAATACCACAAGAAAGTAGTTGCCAAATATATGCGTGACAACAGTCTGAAAAACAAGACAATTAAAAAGCTGCACCAAACAGACCCTTAATTAATATAGGCTTTTCACAACTCAATGCTGCATGAGGTATATCAATGTAGCAAAAAGGGGAACACAATAACCCATTGAAATCTTAAACTAATCATGTTAGAGTTGCTTTTATATATATATATATATATATTAATGTTTGATCTTTTTGTTCTCTTTGGTATGATTCTTGCTTTTTTCGTTGTCAATTTTTCCTTGGCTTGATCAAGTTCTCATTGTACACCTTCACGAGTGGTATAAATAGAAGTTTTAGGGATTATTATTGTTTTTAAAGTCTAGTTATCTTTATCTTGCATTCAAGGTGCCACATTTTGTTAAAATAATGTAGTGATTGCTGAAATTTGAACCATTTGTAGTTCTTTTTGATAATTCAGATTACTGGTTTTAGGCTGCGCTAGGCGGGGCTGTTGGCAATCTGCAGAAAATTCGAGCATTTCTTCGGGTCAGCCCATAATCTAACTCTTGTTCTTCTTAAATGTGCTCCATAGTAGTTTTAATAATTTTGAGCCTTATTTCTGTCTTAATTCAAACATGCTGCCAGGTAAGGTTAAGAGATCATGGGGTGCTGGACTTTGATGCAGGGGATGCTCGCAGGCAGCCCCCAGTTGACACCACTTGGCAACAGGTATTTCTTCCTGTTTTATTTGTTTCAGCTGCACTTTTGTTTGTGAGAAGTTTTTTTTTTTTCACTAATTTATGATTATTTACTTTTTGTTTTGGGTTTTTATTCCAAACGGTTTTTTTTTTATTTAATGTAAACTTGTGAATAATTGTTCACCGTGATTCCCTGTATTTGGTCTTTTCTTTGGATTATTAAGATGCCTGATCAATTTTGAACCATCAACTGGAGGAAAAAAAAGATTCCACCCTTATACTAAAATGAACGGCATAATCTACTATTATATTTTTAAAGGTGTTTAGCATCCTTTTTCTGAATCCTTCTGCAATCGTCGTTGAACTTGGCTGCTGCTGCCTTGCAAGTTGCTTCTTGGAACATGCAGTAAGCAGTAAGGTGGGGAGTAAACACATTATACCATCTTTGAAACTTGCTACATTTTCTAAACTGATTTCTATACATTCTCCACAAGGATTATACAAAGTATAAACTTTTAATTTCGAATTATAGTTCTGTTTTTTGTTATTAATTATAATTTGATCAATGAGGACTGCAAGTTTTTGAACTTGTCATTTATTGATATGACATTGCCTTATTAATGATTGTTGGAATGTTATTATTACATGTCTCTTTTATGTTTTATAGTGATTTGCTTAGAAATGCAGTCAATAACTTAACGTTTCTATGATTTTGAATATATGGTACGTCTTAAAGTTGCTACTTAATTTTTTCTTATATGTAATTTGTGTTGCTGACAAATGATGATGAACAGACAGGTCCCTAAGCTTCATGATAGACATTATTACAACTCAACCATGTACTTTAACTGACTTTTAATATAAACATTTGTTTTATATATTTTATTATTTTGTGATCTTTTCGTGGTACAGAACATTATCAGAATATCCTTTTTTACAGTTTTTGTCTTCCCTTTAACCTTTTAATTTCATAACCCTAAATGCCCTCCGATTCCCTCACTCACTTTTTTGTTCTCATAATGTTAACATTTTTTGAGAATGCATACACGATTCCTGTTATTTCTTTGTCATGATATTTTATGCCTTGGTGAATCTAGATTTATTTTTGCTTGAGAACTGGGTATTATGATGAGGCAAGAACCATCGCTCAATCATCTCGAGTTTCCCACCAATTTTCCCCTCAGGTAGGATTCTCTTTTGTGGAGTTTTGTTTTTATTTTTTACTTTTTACATATTGGTATGTTCTTTTTTATCAATAGTAATTTTCTTTTCATTTTTTCAGCTTGCAGAGTGGATTGCAACTGGAGGTATGGTATCTCCAGAGACCGCTTCCACTGCTTCCGAAGAATGTGAGAAAATGCTAAGGATGGGTGATCGAGTTGGTCGACCTGGATATGACAGAAAAAAGTTGCTTTTATATGCTATGATCTCTGGTTGTCAGCGTCAGATTGACAGATTACTAAGAGATCTACCAAATCTTTTCAATACCATAGAGGATTTTTTGTGGTTCAAGCTGTCTGCGGTGCGTGATTTTCCGAGTGGGTCATCCTCTGTTGTGCTTAGTGATGGCTTGGTGCCATATAGTGTGGAGGACCTTCAAGGTTATTTGAACAAGTTTGAACCATCATACTACACTAAAAATGGGAAAGACCCCTTAGTTTATCCTTATGTTTTGCTTCTCAGTATTCAGTTACTTCCAGCCATTCTACACTTGTCCAAGGAAGTTGGAGATGAAGGGTATAACATTGATGCTGTTCATATTGCTATAGTTTTAGCAGATAAAGGTTGTATATCTGAAGGTGCTGGAATAACTCAGAAGATCGGTATAATGGATCCTTGTGCCGAAGTTGCCAGTATTATACGCCAATATGGTTCATTATACTTGCATCATGGTAATTTGTCATTAGCAGTTGAATATTATGCTCAAGCTGCTGCTGTTATGGGTGGGGGAGAATTATCATGGATTGGACGAGCAAGTGTAGATCAGCAGAGGCAGCGAAACTTGATGTTAATGCAACTTCTAACTGAGGTCCTTCTTCGGGATGGTGGTATTTTACTTTTGCTTGGTCCCAGGGGAACAGGGGAAGAGGGTGAACTGGGAAAATACTTTATGGATTGGAAAACTCGAGAACAATTTCTACTTGATGCTGCGGCTCAGTCTCAAGAAGCTGGGCTCTATGAAAAAGTATACCCTGTTGCTTTCTCTTTCTTCGTGATTATATGCAAGTGATTTGTTGATGTGGACATTTTATTTTGAAAGTGCATTATGTTAGAAATAGCTTTCAAACCGGCCGTTCATGTTTTTACCGGGCTTTAGTTAATATTAGTGCAACTTTTTGCATACATTCTATTGCTTCATCTCATTGCTTATGGAAATCGCATTAGTTCTGCTGGACAAATTTAGATGGCTGGTAGTATGGTAATTTTCGGTGATATTATTCATGGAGATATTAAAAACAGTTGTTAGATATTGCATTGAAAAATGTATGTGGATTTTAGCTGAGGCTTACTGTAAACTTAAGGTTGCATTAATAGTTATGATGATGCTATTATGAACTCAAAGATGAAAACTTGATCCTGTGTATGATTGTTATTTTAACAGCTTTGAAAAACTTGTTTTTGTTGCCACCATTTTGCTCGAGGGGTTGCTTTCTTTTTGATTTTATTGTTCAAATGATATTAAAGTGACTTTGCATTTACCTTCGACTATTTTTTTAAAATCAATGAACTATTTTATTCCTTCCGTCGTTTGATTTTCTTAGAAACATGTTCCATTCCATAGTACAATAGCACCACAAAGGACTGCCTTCTGTTTTCAAAGGAATTTAAACTAACTTATCATTCTTAATTCTTGAAAAAATGATCAATTTTAAGCTCGTTTTCCTTTTTAATTTTCCAGAGGTTCTTTTACGTAATGAGGATTCTCTTTTTCCATTCTTTCAAAGGTTTGTGCAACTTGAATAATGGTTAAATTTGTCTGGATTTACTTCAGAACGTATTTTCTTCTGGGGAGAAAACATTTACTTTGGAATAGAATTTCTCATAATAAAATTGTTCAAAGCTCATATGCGCTTATCTTTGTTTGGATGAAAAGTTTCCTTGGAATTTAGTGCTCATTTATCACTCTTTTATGTTTTTAGGCCCATGCTTTAGCTATGTTCATATACTAATCTTGCTTTCAGACCTTTTTCTCTAGTTTTCATTCCTCTATTGGTGAACCTTTGTATTGATATTACTATAATTGCTCTACTACGGTTATGTTTAAGTCTAAGCCTTTTTTTTGCTTTACCTGCTTAACGTGCAGTCAGTGGAAATACACAAGAGAGTTGGAGCCTTTGCAAGGGCACTATCAACAATAAATAAATGTCTTTCTGATGCTATCTATGCTATGTTGCGTGGCCGATTGGATGGCGATAGCCGGGTTGCAAGTCTTATTCAATCTGGGAATGACATATTGGAGACTGTCAAATACTCGGCAGATGCTAGGTTTTTCTCACAATTGTTTTCTGATATTATATTTACTTATTCGTTACTCGTAGTGACTGAATTTCTATTTTCTTGCCAAACCACTTGCCTCATATGCTTTTTAGACACAATTAATCCTCAAATGTTGTGGGTCTCTTCTCATCCATGGCCTTTAACCCTAGTGTCCACTCATAATTGTGTGCTTCTTACTAGCGGCTAATCACAAAATTAATCCATAGCATTCCCATCAAGTTGCACAATTGTTCTTCAGCATTGTTTGAAATTGCACAATACGAGACTCAACTTGAGCCCCGCCTCAGCGCGATTCCAGTAAAAAAAATGTCTCGAGGCTTACGCCTAATGCTTTTTTATGAGGCTTGCGCCTCAGCTTGGCTGAAGTCCGCCTTGAGGCGCGCCTCACTTTACTGGCGTAAGGCGTTTGCCTCACTCGATTTATTTACTTTTTTATTAAAGTTTACCTAAATCCTAAACTAAAGCCTCGAACAAATCTTGCCTTCATGAATCCCAATGTCATGACCCGGCCCGGTGAGCTCGCATACGCGAGGCGGGAACAAAGGTCGAACGATAGGCTAAATTATCTAATGTCTAAATCTATCTCCATAATAATTTGAAAGAGCCTCTAAAACATCAAATTTGAAATCACATAAACATAAAATCAAACATATTCATAATTACCTTTCTTTCGGAGCTCCTCTCCTACGATAAACATTGCCACTCCTTCTACTCATTTTTGATTAATTTAAGCTTACCTGAAAAATGTTAACAACTAACATTAAGCCGAAGCTTTAAAATCAATGAACTATTTTATTCCTTCCGTCGTTTGATTTTCTTAGAAACATGTTCCATTCCATAGTACAATAGCACCACAAAGGACTGCCTTCTGTTTTCAAAGGAATTTAAACTAACTTATCATTCTTAATTCTTGAAAAAATGATCAATTTTATGCTCGTTTTACTTTTTAATTTTCCAGAGGTTCTTTTACGTAATGAGGATTCTCTTTTTCCATTCTTTGAAAGGTTTGTGCAACTTGAATAATGGTTAAATTTGTCTGGATTTACTTCAGAACGTATTTTCTTCTGGGGAGAAAACATTTACTTTGTAATAGAATTTCTCATAATAAAATTGTTCAAAGCTCATATGGGCTTATCTTTGTTTGGATGAAAAGTTTCCTTGGAATTTAGTGCTCATTTATCACTCTTTTATGTTTTTAAGCCCATGCTTTAGCTATGTTCATATACTAATCTTGCTTTCAGACCTTTTTCTCTAGTTTTCATTCCTCTGTTGGTGAACCTTTGTATTGATATTACTATAATTGCTCTACTACGATTATGTTTAAGTCTAAGCCTTTTTTTTGCTTTACCTGCTTAACGTGCAGTCAGTGGAAATACACAAGAGAGTTGGAGCCTTTGCAAGGGCACTATCAACAATAAATAAATGTCTTTCTGATGCTATCTATGCTATGTTGCGTGGCCGATTGGATGGCGATAGCCGGGTTGCAAGTCTTATTCAATCTGGGAATGACATATTGGAGACTGTCAAATACTCGGCAGATGCTAGGTTTTTCTCACACTTGTTTTCTGATATTATATTTAGTTATTCGTTACTCGTAGTGACTGAATTTCTATTTTCTTGCCAAACCACTTGCCTCATATGCTTTTTAGACACAATTAATCCTCAAATGTTGTGGGTCTCTTCTCATCCATGACCTTTAACCCTAGTGTCCACTCATAATTGTGTGCTTCTTACTAGCGTCTAATCACAAAATTAATCCATAGCATTCCCATCAAGTTGCACAATTGTTCTTCAGCATTGTTTGAAATTGCGCAATACGAGGCTCAACTTGAGGCCCGACTCAGCGCGATTCCAGTAAAAAAATGTCTCGAGGCTTACGCCTAATGCTTTTTTATGAGGCTTGCACCTCAGCTTGGCTGAAGTCCGCCTTGAGGCGCGCCTCACTTTACTGGCGTAAGGCGTATGCCTCACTCGATTTATATACTTTTTTTTATTAAAGTTTACCTAAATCCCAAACTAAAGCCTCGAACAAATCTTGCCTTCATGCATCCCCAATGTCACGACCCGGTGCGGTGAGCTCGCATAGGCGAGGCGGGAACGGAGGTCGAACGATAGGCTAAATTATTTAATGTCTAAATCTATCTCCATAATAATTTGAAAGAGCCTCTAAAACATCAAATTTGAAATCACATAAACATAAAATCAAACATATTCATAATTACCTTTCTTCCGGAGCTCCTCTCCTATGATAAACATTGCCACCCCTTCTACTCATTTTTGATTAATTTAAGCTTACCTGAAAAATGTTAACAACTAACATTAAGCGGAAGCTCAGTAAGTAAAACACAATTCTAAATTACAGTAATCAAGACAAACTGCATAATATGTTGGATGTCAATTTCACATGAACATAACATAAAAATGATTTCATACTAGCATAACATTAAACATATCATATCATAAAGCCATTTTTTTCATTTCATTTTCATATTCATATCAATATACTTAGCCTTCTTATTTCGTATATATTACAACCGTCACAGGAGCCACCGTCTAGTACCATAAAGGTAGTCCTTTACCATTTTCCTTTTCTATATCCTTTACCATTTTAACGTGCTCGAGTACAGCGTCCCCAGCTAGTACCATCAGGGGGTGAGCTCCATCATTTCAGCATGCACATACAAGCATTCAATATAACATTCATAGCATAGCATATCATTTCATTTCATATATCACATAAACTCTATCATATAAGGCCATAAAATATAACATGTAATTTGCATGATCAACCATTTGATGAGAGTTAAGAAGCATGATTGGTCTATCAAATCATATAACATGTGAGAAACAAGAGACATTACTGTAATTAAAGAACTATGCATACTTACAGAAGTTAGGAAATGATTATCTACGTTATTCCTCCTTCCCTTGAGATCACCTCAAATAGCACCTACAAGAATTAAATTTCTCCCTTAAAATCTATAAAATAAATCTAAATTAAAGATTCTTCTTCTCATTGTAAACTACTCTACGTTCTCTCTCTTTCTCTCACACTCTCTTTCTCATTTTCATAAAAAGCAATTATACATTCTAAAAATTTATATTTTTATATAATTACCTATTTTATCCAAATTAACCCCTTTACCTTACTCCTAATTTAATTTAAATAATCTTTATTTTCGGAATTTACTTAAAACCCTAATTTTGGAAAATCTATTTTCATCAAAATGCTTACTTTTGCATGCTAAAACTTCCCATTCATCAAATTAATATTTTAGAAAACTAATTTTCGGATTTATTTTAATTAAAAGTTAGAAAAATAATATTTTGTGAGGAAACTCTCAATTTCTTCCCTTAGAAACCATCTTTTAGGACCATTAGGAAACAAATTTATAAAAGTACTTTAAAAAATTTTAACTTTGGGGAAAAATCCTAATTTTTCCAACTCAAAACCTTTAAAGAAAAACTTCATTTTCATGCACAAGAATATCTCCTAATCATTTCATAACAATCTCCCATTAAAATTCTTAAAGAAAATCAAAATTTTCTCAAACCCCAGAAATCTTTTCTTGAGAAAACCCTAAGGAAAAACATGAGAAATGGTTCATAAGAACTCACATTAGCCTTCTCTTAATCTTCCCTACAATTTCCTCCACGAACGGCACGGAAACCGCCGCCCGAAGCCTCCCGCCACTCCCTTCCACGTGCCTCTTCCCCTCGGTTCCGCCTCCTCTTCACGGTTCGGCCGAACAAAAGAATGAAAGGGACCGAATGAATTCGGTCCCTTAAAGCCATGAGGTGTTTAGGGATTGCTAAAAGTCTATCTTGCCCTTACTTAAACAATCCAAGCATTAATAATTTCTTAGGGTATTATGGGTATTATGAGATTTCTATGAATTTTAATTCCTAATTTAAGCAAAATTAAATATAAGTTTTATATATCAAAATTCTTAGAATTTTGCATAGAATTTTATAAAATTATTCCCGTCGAAATTCGACAACATTGAATTTTTCACTTAAAACTCGTCGCGGTGTTTTGAAAAGCGTGCGAGGTTTAAAACAACATTTTTCGGGTTTTACACCCAAGTTGCAACAACTTCCTCACAACTGCCTCTACCTTCAGCCCACCGCCTTTGCTGTAGCCTCCACCGGGAATCACTTGAAAGCCGCACACCACCGCCATCACCACCTCCTCTAAAAATTTTGGAGTGTTATTCTCATCTTTATGCTAATGCAAACATTTATGAAAGAGAAAGATTATTGAAATAAACTCCACATGATGAGGTAGGGAAGAAACTAATTTGTTAGGATGACAACTCACCTAAAGACCTTAATGATGATAATGCAGATAATTTCTGAGTTGTCAATTATGTCAGCTTTTTTAAAAAATTAAATGTGGATGAGTAGGGAACTAAGAAAGAAGGAATTTGAAATTGTACTTGATGTTATATGATACTTTTACGTAATTCCTGTATTACATGTTGTTTTGCTCCTATAATATTTGAATTTCAATTCTATTTCACGCAATTTATCGCCACTTTATCTCTTGTGCAATTTTTTGCTTCATATGCAAGTCAATTTGTTACTTCATGGTTTAATAGAAAGTTAATATGTCATTATTTAACATATTATTTAGATATTATATAAAAAATCACTTTTAACATTTATTCTCATTTTACACAAGTTTTGTATTTTGAGGCTTAAGCTTCAAAACACTTTGAGGCTTGGGCCTCGCCTCACAAAAGAAAAATACCTCAATACCCAATTGCACAATTTTAAAACTCGTTCTTTAGAATTATGTATCCCAATAGAAGTGCTTGAAAGTTGAACAAAGTTGTAGATTTCACTATTGCATTATTATTTCTTCATATTTTTTTTTTTTTAATTTGAGAGTTTCTACATGCAATCAAGGCTATGCTCATATGATAAATCAAAACTTTCCTATTTCCCAACATTTGCTAGTGTATAATGGCCTTTAATAACTAATT